AGTATAGCTCAATGGGTCAATGAGGTACTCCAACCGTCGCACCACGTTATGGTCCAGTTTCGTTGCGGCGGTAGTGACGACTTGGTAAAAGACGACTTCTATCACTAACTGAACAAACCCCTTCGCCACAGAAGATGCACGGACACGGTTGTGCTGGCGGGGGATCTGAACGGACAAGTTATAAAGTTGTCCACTGATGAAATGCATCGGGGCAATCAACACGATGTAGGCTCCCATAGTGATAACGATGAGCGGTTACTTCATTTGTGTGAAGATGTTCGCTTATTTCTTGCGAGCGCTAGTTTCCGACACAGCACACGCCAGAGGGTGACTTGGCGCCCACCAGCCTCGAACCAGCTATGAACGCAACCGGCAACCGGGTAGTATCACGCCCTCTCACAAAACCATGGACTGTATTACAACGCGCTCATCAGCTACTGTTCCTGCTATGCACTTTCACGCGACTTCATCACACGCCAATTGTTTGTTTGCTAACAATCCTCACTTTCCGTTACCCGATTCATGTGTTCAACAATCTGGCTGCGATTCCGGTTGCTCCGCAGATCAAGCAGTTCAACCTATGGCTCTCCTTCGTCCCCGATCCTCGTTCCGTATGGCGTCCATCAATGTTCGGACACTCATGCAGAATGGACAGCAAGCCGGTCTAGCGCGCACCCTAGACTCCATAGACATTGATGTCTGCTGCCTTTCAGAAACCCGATTGCAAGATCCCAGCACTGTGCTTACATTGACATCCCCCACTGACCACGAAGCCAGATATCACCTGCGTCTTTCTGGAGATCCAGAAGCAACCTCAGCGGGTTTGGCTGGTGTAGGTATAGCACTGAGTGGAAAGGCCGAGGCGGCACTACTGGACTGGTTCCTGATTAACAGCCGACTATGTGCAGTTCGGCTTCGGGATTCATGTAGAATCAACAGGCACCGCGAAGAGAGACACAACTTGTTTGTGATCTCCGTGTACGCCCCAACTGACTGCAGTGGCGACTCGGTCAAGGACGAATTCTACCGGGATTTACAACAGCTTTTGACTAATGCTAAAAAGTCTGATGTCGTTATCCTTGCTGGGGATTTTAATGCACGGGTTGGCCGCCTGTTACCATACGAACGCCACCTTGGTGGTCATCACTCGCTCGATCAGAACCGCTCTGATAACGGAGAGAGACTTCTCACATTGTGCGAAGACAACCGTCTGTTTCTTTCGATCACTAGCTTCAGGCGTACGAAGAAGCGTTCCGCAACGTGGCGTCCCCCTTCTTCCACACAACCGTGGTCTCAAATTGATCACATTGCAATTGGCTTCAGATGGCGCGGCAGCGTACTGGACTGCAGGTCCTTTTGGTCCACTTTCGTTGATTCAGATCATGCTCTGGTTTGCGCGAAAATCTGTATGTGTTTTGGAGGATCCCGAAACACGAAGCACCGCAAGTTTGATGTAAACAGATTAACTGACTCCTCTGTCCAGAAGAGCTATCAGTCTTCATTGGCATATGCACTCAGTTGCAATCCACCACAAGAAGTGGAACAACACTGGACTTGTATATGGAAAGCAATGACCATTTCCGGACAGTCATGCTGCGGCCTAACGCGACGCCCCTTGAAGGCTTGGATCTCTGCTCGTTCTCTGGAGCTGTTCGAACGCCGCAAAGATATCCCTGCGGAATTAGATTGCAACGAGCGGCGCTGTTCTGCCAACCGGTTGCTCAAGCAAAGCCTACGCAAGGATCGCGAGACATGGTAGTCTGAGCGTGCTTTGGAGATGGAAACTGCTGCCCTCCCTGGCAACACTCGCAGGCTTTTCCAACTCATTCGGTCCACTGGCCCCAGGAAGCCTGGTGTCAGTGAGGTGATTTGGGAGGTGGATGAGTCTCCGATCACCAACCAACAGAGGCGTATGGACTGATGGGCCGAGCACTTTCACTCGCAGTTCAACTGGCCTCCACCATCCATCAGTACATGCAGTACACGTTGTTGTCCACCCTGGCTCGTCCCTCTGAATCCACCCACCGAAGCGGAAGTGTGCCTCGGGATTCGACGCTTCAAGCGCTTCAAGGCTGTCGGCTTAGACGCACTTCCTCCGGAGCTATTCAAGTACGGCGGTGTGGCGATCATTAACCAGCTAACCGCGCTGTTCCCAAAAATTTGACATGAAGAGAAAGTGCCTTCCGCTTGGGGAGAATCAGTTATTGTCCTGATTTTCAAGAAAGGCGCTCGCACTTCATGTGCAAATCATCGCGGGATTAGTCTAATTTCGGTTGCCTCTAAGCTATTGGCATCCATTCTGCTTCGCAGGCTATCCCCAGTACGTGAATCACACTACCGTGAAGAACAAGCTGGTTTCCGTCCTGGCTGCGGATGCGTGGATCAAATCTTCACGCTCCGCCAGCTCCTCGAACATCGCCACATTTATCACAGGCCCACTATCATTGCATTTCTGGACATACGTGCCGCTTTTGACTCCGTTGATCGACCGGTTTTATGGCGCTGCTTACTAAAGAACGGGGTGCCTGTGAAATATACCGCCATCTTACGAGCACTTTATCTTCATACATCCGGCAGAGTGAGGGTATGTGGCAAGCTTTCCTCGCAATTCGCTGTCAATAGCGGTGTGCGACAGGGCTGCCCTATGTCCCCATTCCTCTTCAACTTCGAAATCGAAGATGTTCTGTCGAATGCCCTAGAAGGTTTCCAACATTTTGGCCTAGAGCTTCTACCGGGTGAGCGCGGACCGCCCTAGAGCTTCTACCGGGTGAGCGCGCGACCGACTTAGATTATGCTGATTATATCGCCTTACTTGGTAACGATCCTCAGGATATGCAACTCATTCTGGATCGTTTGGCGGTTGAAGCATCTAAGTATGGCATGAGCTTCGCCCCATCGAAGTGTAAAGTACTGCTCAAGGATTGGCTTTCACCTGCTCCCGTGCTCACTCTCGAAGGTGCACAACTTGAACAGGTAGATTGTTTCGTCTACCTTGGGAGCTGTGTTACTGCTGACGACACTATCAGCAAAGAAGTTTCTCTTCGTATCGCTAAAGCTCGATCAGCATTTGCAATCTGAGGCATTTGTGGTGTCGTCGCGACGTCTCATTCTCACTAAAAGGCCGCGTTTACAGCGCATCAGTTCGCTCAGTATGGTTGTATGGGTGCGAGTCATGGCCGATTCGCGTGGAAGACATGCGTTGTCTTTCTGCGTTCGATGCCGGTTGCTTAAGGAGGATCTCTTGTGTTTGGTGGCAACATCGAGTTAATAGTATTGACGTTCGACGTCGCATCTTGGGGAATACGAGTATTTCCTTCAACAAACTAGTTTTGCTGCGCCAGTTGAGATGGCTCGGTCACGTCCTACGCATGGCACCTAAGCGTCTACCGCGTCGCGCTCTATTCGCTCGTCAAGGACCTGGCTGGAGGCGACCGCGTGGTGGTCAGCCTTCCACTTGGCTGCAGCACATGAAATCGCTGACGTCGTGTCTAGCCGCTGTTGGATCCGTACGTCTTCCAGGATGGGGACCCAAAGATGAGGAGTGCCAATGGCTTAGGACTCTTGAGGACATGGACCGCAACCGAAATCAATGGAAGAATTGTGTACAGTACTGTATTGATTCACATGATTAATACTATAAAGATTAAAATGACAAAAGAGAGCAAAACCGGCGTGTGACAAACAAACTAAAAATGTTTTGTTCTATTTTTTATCAAAATGTTCCATTCTTCCTTGCGGCATATTAGTTGAAGTGTGTTGCTCACCTTCAACTAGCATGCCACGATGGTTAAAAAACACTACGAATCTTGCTGATCTGCTGATCTTCATGGTTTTTTGCTGGCTCTATGTCTAGTTAATAGACTGTTGAAATTACATACATACATACATACGATGCATTATCTGATACTAAACTTATATTATTTTTTTGCTTTTTACTGTGTATTCTTTCATATTTAGTATCTCGTTTTTTCATACATCTTTTGTATCACGGTTTAATACCCTAGGTTGTCGTCCGGTGGCCGAGTGGTCTGCACGTTTGCTTTGCAACCATAAGGTCACCGGTTCGGATCCACGTGGGGGTGGGCGTCCTCGCGGTATACTCAACCCGCGCGCGACTGGTGGTGGTCGTGCGGCAGCGAAGCGCCGTTACGGCGTACAGCTGATACATCATCATCACCATCACCCTAGGTGTTTCTCACCTTTAACTAACGTCGCGATGATGAAACCTGAGAATAGCGACTCGAGTCATCAACCAAAGTCAAAGTTTTACCGAAATGTAGTTGAACTACAACAACAGTACATAAGACGGACCAGTTTTTGGGGAGCTAAGTGTGACCAAATCCTAATCTGGGTGACCAGAAAACTAGTTTTTTTGTACTCTGAATGTTGACTAGCCTGGTGTGTGCAACCTTTTTGATAACTAACAACACAACTCACTATAGCGCAAAGCATCACACACGATAGTGGTGCTGTCCGTTCCCACTTGAACCGCAGAGGCCATACCTTGTTGGAACATCTATTTATGGAATGTCATATTCGAACGCATGTTTTCAGCCACTGTTTATGCCAACGTGTCTTGTGTGATAATGAGGAAATAGAACTTATCGTACATCTTAGTTCAGATGCATGCAGGCATCTTCACAGATACTCCTACTGCGTGAGTGTGGACATCTCGGTATTCTAGATGAACTAGGTTGTGCATCATCTTTTTTTCCGTTATTGGATTTACTTTTAACGTTCACAAATGTTGTCTAATTCCATAATATGATGACGGTTTCCTGCTGTTTCCGAGTGATTTTCCTTTTCTCCGGGATTTTTACCTCTTTAAAATAACATGCTGTTGCTAACAATATTAGCCTTCGTTATTTAGCCGTCCTGTTAATACGCTGGTTAGAATCAGTAGTTGGTGGAGTCAGCTCCGAGACACTTCTGTCAGGGGCGTTGCTGGTTCCGTACTTATGTGATTTCTCCGTCAATATTTTTCCTGTTCTATTCTTCAGGTCATTATCAATGATCCATCCCTTCAACGGCCGAATGGATCGGTAGTTGCGAACAGCACTTCTGAATTAAGTTCATCTCCCATTAAACCATCCTATGTTGGCGACGTTCACGCTTCGCCAACTCGACAGACGTCCAACGGTCACACAGCCAAAGAGTCAGCTCCTGCAGCCAATTCCTCTGAGCCAATCACGTGCGAAGTTACAGCGGGTCATGTCTCCCCAATGCCACCCCGGGCAACCTACGAGCAGCAGCGTGTGGAACGTGTGCGAATCAAATCTCCCTCGAAGCCGGCAAAGTGTTGTGTGCTGCAGTGACTTCGCATTTGCAATCATGTTCAAGCCTTTCCAGTTGTGAGTTACGAATCTTCATGCTTTATTTCCTCTTCTACGACCTTTATTTTAACTGGATTACTGCGACTCTTGATTATCGTAGAACAATTTTAATGCGCATGATTCTTAGCTTGGGAAGACGCGGGTTTGCTTTCAGTTTTCACCCATATACTTTGCGGTCCCGTCCTCAGTTGCAATCTCCCTACTACCCTGTTGCTAAGCTTTTGAGCCAAAGGCTCATCCGCCCTGTTTATGCTTTCATTCTTTCTTTTTCACCCTGTTTGTTTTACCCCCTCTATACATGCACTGCAAGCGTTCCCTCTACCATCCCCAGCCTAAGTAACAGCATTTACAATACATTGGATTTCTGCTGTCCTTTAGGCTCATGTCATAAGTAGCCCCTTATCAGACCACGATGCCCTGTTTCTTCATCGGCTTTCTATGTTCGTATCTTAAGACCGGTAGGTGAACAGGCTGTACTTACGCACATACTGAATACAGTGACAACATTTGTTGCTTGTCCGAAACTAACATCGATGACTCCCGCGCGGACTTGCTCCCTTTCTGTTGATTATACCCATCCTGAGACGCTGATGCGGCAACCACAGGTCAAGCTTTACGGGTACCATTCTCAGCTACAAGGCTGAGTAGTCGCTAGTTGACTGGATCTCCCTAAGCAGCCATCTGTGTGCAGCACGTCTGACAACAGCAATCAATTTGAGCACGTGAAGTTACGTTAGACGCTATTTGTTATTTCCGCTTGTGTCCCCTGGCTGCAATTCTAAAGCTATCAAGAACGCTTTTTGCTACGAACTCAGCACTTTGCTTTGCAGTGATATTATTTTAGATATTTTTCTAGTTGCATGAGATATGAATGCACAGGTAGGTCATCAAACTCCTCAGAAGCTCATTTTAGTGGTAAGTTTGGGCTTACTCCTGAACGCAAGTACAATGTCTTGCTTTAGTTCCATCTACGCAGTTCAGTCCAGCTCATTTGAACAACTATGATCCGGGCACCGAAGTTCTGTGGGTCTAGTTGCCACGACTCACGTCGCTAGGATAACCATAACTAACCGGCGAGACAATGAGGTTGAAGGCAACTAAAATACAACGGAAATTGAATCAATATAGAAATGTGTTAAATTAATCGGGATGGAATGAAGATTCAACCAACCAGTTGGAAGAATGCTACTGCGCGATTGCGCCATATGGGCCATACCGGGGTCCCCACCCACGAAAACGACGAATCAGCCTGACCAAGGCTCAGAGTCAAGTTATGCATGCCTTTATGCTACTTCATCGACTGGCCATCTCACGTTTTCACCCAACTTAGTGCAGCGACGCCGTATGATGCACGCCGAGGAAGTCGGTCAACGGGTATACGGAGGGCATGACCTAGCCGGTGAAAGTGGTTGAGCTTTGGTGAACACTCGAGTGAGACGCCAAAAACGAACAGGCATATCCCAATACTATTCATCTGGTGTTCCCACCAGATGTGAGCAACGCTCCGCAAGCAACAATGATCAAATCCGGTCAATCGTTTAATGTTTTAAACGCGAACCGGTACTTGAGAGGTCATCTCAGCCCTCAACCAAGCACAACTACTAGGATACCCTACATTTCAGACTTTCGCCTAATTTCTTCAAATATATCGGGCTTCATTGGAATAGTATCTCCGCCACCATGCATGTTAGTGGGCCTCTGCCTACGACACTATAAGCCGTTGTCTCACGAGACATTGAATGTCCGAGAGGTCTGTGAGCCTGTTGGACCCCGAAAAAAACTCCCTGCTGACTGAACACAATGAGACCAGACAGACCATTCGATGCGAACTGAAACGGAGCCCGCGTGCTGACAAGGGAGCCTGGTGGACCAAAAGGGCTGAAGAGATGGATGAGGCAGAAGCGACGGGCAATTATTACAGTTTCTTCCAGGTCCGTCGAACTATAAGCATCTGTATAGGACAGCGCCGACGTATTTTTTCCCCATGTTGTACTTTATTTGACGTGGCTCCAGAATAGTCATGTGGTGGAATAACATATCAGCTTATCGCCAACAGCATTGCATCATTCATTTTCATTGTCGGACTTGCAAACTCTGCTCAAGAGCTAGTGAAGCTCACGATAAAAGTCGTCCTCGACTGGACCGTATTCGGGTGGGCAACACCCAATTTCCATCTACTTTGAATACGGTCCCAGTGATCGCAGTGACTAAGGTTCACTTCAATGTGAACCACAGTCCATTACATTGAGGTTGCGCGTCGCAATCCAATCACACAACGTGTAGTCCAAACTTGACCCTCCAATTATACATGCGGTATTTTGAAATCACTATGTGTTTCCGCGCTCACAAGCTATGCTTTTTCCAATGACCACGTTATAAGAAATAATTTGAAACGAATTTAGAACAAGCGTTATAATTGTGCAAAAACGCCGCGCTGAGTGGAAGGTTGCTCTTCGGAAGAAAAAAGGCGAAGCGTGAGCATACTTATCTTACTTACCTTAAACATCGGCTCGCTTTGAGGCAAAATGGATGAACTAGCAAGTACCATTCACTCTCACGAATATCCGCAACTTGACATCATTTTTTACAAGAGACCTGGCTTCACAAGGTGTATGGCGTATTTGTAACAGTAGAGGGGTTCAAATGCCGCCGAGTCAACCGCCTTTGCGCGTACCGTAACCGTTGTGGTGCAGTCATTATCTGCACCAACACTTCCTAGCGCGTATCTATAACAGTTTTGTTTTGTTTCTCTACGCAGCTTATTATCTGCTTAGTTCTAAGGTGCAAGCCAAGATGTATCATTGCGTACTGCTCAGTCCTGCTGGCTAACATCTATATTTTCCCCACCTGCCCGAAACCTTAAACAGAGGCATTTCATGAAGAGTTTTCTGCGGCTGTCATCGAACACATCGACTGTTCCCTGTTTGTTTTCACTGGTGGTTTTAACCGATTTGACACCGTTTTCCTCACAATTCTTGGCTACAAAGCATCGCACCTTACCCCACTAGATCCAATCTGGCTTTTACCAGTGTGAAGCTGTTTTCCGAGTGTAATAAGGCACCCTTCAACAGCTCTGATCACAACGATTAAACTGTCCTGTGATCTACTCTAAGACAAGTCATAAGGTGGCTACTCGTCGCAATGACCACAAGTTCAGTTGGAGACAGTGTTCCACACAGAATATTGACCGACTGCGAGAAGTGGTATCATCTACTGACTTCAGTTTATTTTTTTGACAATTATTCATCCACGTATTGTTATCAGTTGACAAGCTGCATGAACTTCTGTTTTAACATATGCTGTCCATGCGAAACTCTGTTCGTCCGTGCGGATTGGTCCTCTTCCCTCCGCCTGAAGCGGCTGCGTTGAAAAAGAAGAAAACGCCTCAGTAAAGTCACTCTGTCCTTATAAGAGAGGAGTTGTATCGTCTCAGCAACGTGTACGTTCAGGCTGGTAGCTGTCATGAACTCTGAATGAGGTTAAAACAACAAAGCAGCATTCCTTGACGTACATCAACCTTCGACGCTGATGTGGAGAAACTGAACCATGACTTCTACACTTGCTACAATAATCCGATCTCCAATTGTTCCTTTGTCCAGCTTCAATTGTCTGCAGACTCACTGCCCCTGTCGATAGTGGCCCTGGACACAAATTACTAAGACAGCGTCACTCAGGGTAGACACTTGGTTCAAATGGACTGTCTCCCGTTCTCCTCAGGTAATGTGCTCATTCCATTGCCAAACCTCTGTGCATTCAGCAGCATACAACCATCGGCTGCTGGAGAGCCGTCGATGTTACACCAATACTAAAATAGGGCTCAAGACCAAGCTTCACTTCAATGGGAATTGCGGTCAACATTGAGATTGCGCGTCGCAATCCATTCACACAACGTGTACTTCAAAATGACCCTCAACATCGTTCATTATACCGTTGTGCCAAGCGTTGCCCGTCGTGACCCGGTGGCTTAGGGGTAGCGGTCACAACTAACATCCCAATGGTCCCGGGTTCAATGCCTGCCAACCTTATCTGATGATATGTAATAACATCGAAACGCGTCTTAGTAGGGCGGTGTTTTCGGGTGAGCAACACCCAATTTCTATTTGCATCAGCTACGGTCCTAGTGATCGAATGGCCAAGGTTCACTTCAATGGGAATCGCGGTCTACTTTGAGATTGCGCGTCGCAATCCATCCACACAACGTGTACTTCAAAATGACCCTCAACATCGTTCGGGTAGGATTGTGCCCACGCGTCAAGTGGGCGAGTACACGATTCGGAACAGCTCACGCGACAACGCTTGTGAAGCCTAGTCGCCGTCTAGACAAAGACGGAACTCTGCTAACTGAATGACGCGTTCACGCCATACGAGACAAAGACAAACCTCATGACCACACCCCGATCGGAAACAGAGCACAAGGACAAGCCGTGCACCGAGGACCTTACGGACTCGGCAGAAGACCATACCTGTGGAGACACCGTTTGAGTAATAACACAAATCACTCATTATGCCGGACAGTGAACAATTATTTATCACGGATGACAAAGCATGTGCTTGACAAGTCCCGTAGGATGGTTAAAGTCAAAATTAAAATTGAAAGGATCAACGAAAAAGTAACTCGTCATTTTAAACGTCTACCGATTTGAATGCACTGCTGTATAACGCTAGTTTGAAATGTGAGTGGGATGTGCACACACAAATTGTATAGAGAGCCATTATGGTTGAAATAAAATGGAAACGACAGCGCTCACTCGTGTGCTGCTTCATTAGACAGATTTGATGTGTTAATCCTGTTTAGATACATCCAGGCTACTCACATGGTCACTTCTGCATGTATCCTCACTGCCGCGTTGTTGAGGGG